TACGAACCCTTTGTACGAACAAAAGTAAGAGAAATTTAGGATAAGAATACGAACATGTTCCTGCATGAGGCCCATTGACTCTCGTGGTTTGCTGGAGTGCCAAAGCTTTAAAATGGATTTAAAACCTTTTCCAGACAGAGATCTCAATTTCTTTATTTGTCATTGGTTCCTACGTTTCTTTGGATCTTAACATGGTGTCTAGATTACAGGATCTTTAGATTTTTTTGAAAATAGGGGCAGATACTGTAAGATTTTTTTCTTCTTTTTGCCGCCTTTCATTTTATTTTATTTGGTGTTTTTTATTTATTTATTTATTTTGTATGTGAAGTTGTGTTTTTAATTAAATGAATAAATTTCCTAATCAAATCTAATCTACTGTACTTTGTCAGGCAGGTTTTATGGTTTCTTGGTTGAGAACGGGTGTGGCAGTAATCAGTTCTGGGTGTGACTAGGGGAAATTAAACTCAGCTTTCCAAAGATGTGATAAACCACAGGTGGTTTCACACAGGACCCTGTAGGTTTAGATTTGTTTTTTCCTTAATAAATTCCTTCATTTATGAGCTGCATTTTGTGTTTACTTGTGTTATCGTTGTCTAATATTTAAATGTGTTTGGTGATCTGAAACATTTAAGTGACAAACATGGAAAAGAATAAGAAATTAAGAAAGGGGCTAAGAGTTTTTCACACCACTGTACATGCATGTATTTACTGTAAATATTTATGGTTCACATCTGCCGTCAGGGTGGACATATCCATGATGGTACGTGGCAGTCGGCCATCTACGGTCTTGCCGACCGCTCAAATCTCCGCGGTCTTCGGAAGAAGTTTAATCACAAACCCCTCCCCAGTGTTGGCTCAAAGCTGAAACACAGGTACAAAACACACAAAATTGTTTTTATTTTCCTCAACATCCCACCTCAAATCTGTTAAAATCTGAGTTATAAAGTAACTAAGTACAAATACTTTGTTACTGTACTTAAGTAGAAATTTTGGTTATCTGTACTTTACTTCAGTAATTATTTTTCAGTGTACTTTTTACTTTTACTCATTACATTTTTACACAATTATCTGTACTTTCTACTCTACATTTTTTAAAAAGTTTAGATGTAGAAAGTCGTTACTCCTATTTTAATCTGAGTTATTACTTAAAAAATATTATCCTAATAAACTGTGTCTCCTGGACAGAGTGAATTTAGTTGTGGTTGGATGAGAAGTATAAATATATATCATTCAAGTAGATTTTGTGTCAAATTTACTTTTGATACTTAAGTACAAAAAATATCAGATACTTTAAGACTTTTACTCAAGTAATATTTTTAGAGAAGACTTTAACTTTTACCAAAGTATTTTTATAAGATACTTGTACTTTTTACTCAAGTATCACTTTGAGGTACTTTATTCAACACTGGTTAAAATACATGTTTCCAGATTGCATGTGTCAAGGTGGGAAAAGGCATTAACTACTACTCTTTTCTTAACCACATTTTATTTTGGTCTTCAAGTATAGTTTTAAGCAAAAGTTGTCAGAAGGAAGTCACTGTCTGCTTTTTTTCCTAATTAATCATAAGGGGTTTAATACACTTTGCATATTTGACAGTTTTAAAGACCAAACATTCTATTTATTTTAAGTCGGACCCACAGAAATGCCAAACATAAATAATGTTGTGTACAGGCAGTCCTTTCAAGAAAACTAATGAAAATGATGACAAATATTAAAAAAAAAATTCTGTCCTGCATTCTTTTTGAGCATGTGTGTTTGTCTATAGAGGAGCGCTGTTCTACAGTAATGAGATCCAGCAGTATGCTATACCCTTCATGGGTTCTGATCCGGCTGTTGTGAAAAGAACACAACGCTTCCTGGCAGAGGAACATCGGGCCACACCGGTCAGTGTTCAGATTGGTGACGATCGAAATCCCATTCATTTCTTCTGGCTAAAATGTTTTTTTATTTTTATTTTGGTAGTGTGTGGCTTAATCTATTACAATTCACCAGTTTTGTTTATCAGATAAAGATGAACAGTCTTTTACGTCCTGCTAATTTTAATCCCAGGTCCAGTATGGAGCATATGCTGGAGTTGGAGGTGTGGGGAACTTGATCAAGATGATGTTTGCTGCCATGATTTTCTGGTTCTTAGTCAAGTTCAGTTTTGGACGCAACCTGCTCATCAAGGTAAATAATGCACCATATATGAATGTTTTGACCACATGCTCATCAGTGCAGCACACACACACGTGCACACACACACACATCCTGTATTTTGAAACAACTGGATGCTCATTTGTGTCTTTTCTTCAGTACCCAGAGTTTTTCTCCTATGGATTCTTCTCGAAAGCTGGACCAACCAGAAAACAGGTGAAATACTGATGGGATTAAAAAAATAAAAATGTTGGTGTCACACACTTATTGTTTAAAATGTAATAAAAATTGTTTTCTAATTATTTGTGTTCATTTGTCTGTTAGATGGAGGGTTCATCCTTCCAGTTTTCCTTCTATGGCCAGGGTTACACAGAGGACCAGGACCCCTCTCAGGGCAAACCCAACGCCAAGATCCGTACACTAGTTCAGGGACCAGGTAAGTCGGATCAAAAGTTGTAGCGTCAAAAAGTTTATTGCTGTCGTTTTTATTTTATTGTTTTTCTTATCATTCAGAGTGTGGCTACGTGGCCACTCCCATTGCCATGGTACAGGCCGCTCTGACCATTCTCTATGAACCTGCAGCTTTGCCCAAGAGGTTAGTTCACACAGTTCCAGTAAAATTCATCACTTTTATGTGGGAAATTCCCACTTCCCTGTAAAACTTGGCTGCAGCAAAAGTAGCTGGTGAAAATGTAGCTAAATAGATTTTACATGGCAAATTTCACCAGTTGCCAGCTACTTTCAAACCTTGTGCACCTAGTGGGTAAGTTAATAAACATGCATTGTGGAAAGATGCAGTTTATGGTCAGTGCTGGATTTGAAGCAACATGTGCTTTTTTAAAGACATTAATACATCTTTAAAGCTCTCGAGGGCCACATAAAATGCAGTAAAGAGGCCACATTTGGTCTGCAGGCCTTGAGTTTGACATGTGGTTGATATCCTTATATTGGCATGTAATGCTGTGAATTAAATGTTCAAAATCTTTAATTTAAAATCAGTAGTACACAACTTAATATTTACCACATTAAAGTTTCTCAGTGTTTGATGAAATATTTGAGACTTGAGTTTGAAATTAACTTTTATTTTGTTCGTTAATTTTGTCTTCATGATTTCTAGGGGAGGAGTTTACACTCCAGGAGCTGCTTTTGCAAAAACTACACTGGTCGACCGCCTCAATAAACACGGCATCCGCTTTTCTGTCATCTAAAGTTCGTCCCCTTCCTGCTGCTGTATTCCAGGTTTTTGTGAGCACTAATAACTATAACAACTGAGAAGTTAAAAAAAGAGATATTTGTAAAACGTAAAAGCCACATTGACATCAGAAAACTGTTTTTTCATTCTGTTTTCATCATTTAATCTTTTAGCGTAGTGAGTAACTACATAATTCTTGCCAACAAACCAAAAACTAAATTCTCAACCAGATTTGGTTCACCTCATGCCTCCGAACAGAACTTGGGAGTTGTACAAGATTGTTTTTAAAAAACAGCTCATCGTTGTTTACTCTGCACACAAAATACAGAAAAAACTATTTTCCTTCATGTTGTTCAAGCTTTTGACATAACTGCTGGTTTTTGCTTTCTGTATTTTATTTTTTCAACACGATGTTAAGGGGAATGTGTTCAGATTTTTTCATTCAGATATTTTATTTTTCCAAAAAGCAGATATTTGAATATAAGGGATTTACATTTCAGCTCATTAGTCACTTCTTATGGACTGAAGCTTTATGTTTCAGTGGGCGATTTAAGCAGTACTACAGTTTAAAATAATAAAATAATAATAATACATGCCAAATATTATCAGATGTGACTTCAGGAAAAATGTCTCTGGTCTCTGTTTTGTTTCATTTCCGTGGGTTAAATCACAATCTGTAGAGGACAAAAGCTGCTTTTTCACAGCAAGTATTTTTTTTGAATACTGTTTGGTCATACCTCCTTTTTGAATGGCTTTTAAAATGCCTGTTGTTCCTTGTGTACTAAACAGCAGATTAAACTTTATAGACTAGAGTTGTTTTATCTACAGCTGATGTCAATCCGTACCTGTTCACGTTGAAGCATTTTGTGCATGTTCTGGGATCTAGTTTTATTAGCTTTGTGTCAGCCTCAAATAAAAGCCAAATCTGAAAAATGTATTATTTTGTCTTGCATTTTTCTAAAATTAAATTGCAAATATATCAATGTTTCTACTTATTTTCAAATGTTGTACTGTAAAAATTATTTCACAATGTTTAAATTTTAAAGTGATAGCAGGACCAAAATAGTTACTTTGGTTGACAGTCAGCTTTTAATAGTTTAAAAGTGTTATGTAAACTTGCATATTCTAAACTTTTGTCAAGTTCTTAACATCAAAACATTTGAGGCTTTAGGATTTCGCCATAAAATATTTACCACTGAAATGACATGGCATGTTGTGAAATGGTTAATTCATTGACCTTTAAACACAAAATCCATTTCCTGCCACCAGGCACTGATAACGGTTATAAAACTTAAGTCAACACAAGGCTCTAAAATATGAAAATCCCTCGTCTGTGACTTCAGAACAATTTTTTAGCTAGAACTTTTACTATTCCCTATTTTATATTTTACTTTAAAATGAGTAAACCCAACAATTAAATGAACTCATTTATTCATAAAAATATATAATCATTTATACAGAACAGCAAACAAATGCTGATTAAAATTCTGAAGAGTTTTCCATCCCAATAAGAAAAGATAATTTTGTTCCCCCTCTGACATGTGACTCTGTTTGGTCTGATCCTTTGTGTTTCTTGTTCAATCTTCCTCTTGGTTCAGCAGCTGGTGAGCGTAGACAACATCTTCATATTTGTATTTCTCTGTTAAAGCCACGATCGAGTCGTAGCATCTGATTCTACTCAGAACCTTCAGATCTTCAGTCACAGCCGACCTGCAGCAGACGGAGAATGGATAAAAACTAATGTTTAAAATGTCCCGATGCATCTCAGTAATCCAGGCAAAAAATCAAAAAGAAAAAAATTGCATAGGTCTTCTGGACGGGTTCTTCTCTAATGAAACGTTTCGTCTCTCCTCCAAGAGACTTCTTCAGTCTGAGTTTCAGGCAAAATTCAGGCTTTTAAGCCCTGCCTCCATGTTGACTGATACATCACATGGCTATCATTGACACTGCAGAGTTCTGGCCATTAGATGTAGACCAGAACTCTGCAGTTTTCACTCATTTACAGGCCAGCGGTCACTCTTTCAGAGATGAGGATGTTCTCATTCTTGATAGAGAGGAACGTTGGTTTGAGAGAGGAGTAAAAGAAGCCATTTTTGTGAAGAAAGACCGTCCATCATTAAACAGAGGTGGAGGCCTCCGTTTTCAGTTGTCCCCCTCCTACAGTGCTGCTATTGCCAGTATCACTCCACCCCCTGTTAACAATAAGTGTTAATTAGGTGTCAACGATAGCCATGTGATGCGAGTATCAGTCACATGGAGGCAGGGCTTAAAAGCCTGAATTTTGCCTGAAACTCTCAGACTGAAGAAGTCTCTTGGAGGAGAGACGAAACGTTTCATTAGAGAAGAACCCGTCCAGAGGACCTATACTATTTTTTTTTACAGTAATGTTTATTTAATGTAAAGTAGCTGCAGATTTAAATATTTATTTCACCTCTGCTTTTATCTATAAACGGCTGCACATAAAATTTTTGGTGTGGTTCTCAGGGGAGAACCTGGGTGGTTGCTTGGTGCTCACTCATTTATCTATAGGTCATCTAACGTCCCCCTGTTCTGTTTTATAACTCCTATCAGCTGCAACGTCTCAGGGCGTCATGCCAAATCAGTCCAACAAGTTTTTATTTTATTCTTTTACTCTACATAAATTTTTTAAACTACCTAAGTGGCCGAGGGGCTGGGTGTATGTCATATAAACATCACAAACTGAACATTTCATGGTTAAATGTCTTTTAGACTAACATGTCCCTCAGATGGACAGCTCCTGTAGTTTGACCTTCTACATCTTCAGCTTTGGTTAAACCAGCTTTCCACACTCTCCAGACCAAGCAGCAAATATGTCTTTCACACAGAGCAAAATAACTTAAAACATTCAAATGTTTTATTTGTTAGACTTATTTCTTTTTTAAGACTATTTTGTTCAAAAAGATAATATTATTTAGATGGTTTCAGTTCATGTAATTATTTATTCTTCGTATTTGATCATTTAATAAATTACATTTATCCCAGAAAAGCTGTATTACAGTATGGTCCTAAACATAAACAACTTTAGCACATCAAGAACCTTGTTTTTTTTATAAAATTGTGAAGGAAATTTGTAGATCTTTACGATAAAATAAGATTTAAAACTCATTCACCTAGAGAACATGGCAAGTTTTTATTTTTTTTATATACCGTATATAATTTTTTTGACTGGGGTGTTAAACAGAGAATCATCTTTGCTTCTGTTAGTTAATGTGGTTTAATTAGAAGAACTCAGTGAATCTCACAGACAGCCTCATACAGCAGTCTCTCAGGAGGAGAGTTTAGTCACTCACACAGAGTTGGACAGATCTGTTCAATAACAACATTCTGAACATATATTTAATATAAAGTCAGGTTTTACAGACCAAAGTCTCTGGTAGTTCAGGAACAAAGTGCAGGAGGAGATGTCAGGACTGACCGCTGCAGCCACGCTTCAACCTGCAGTCTGCCTCTGCTGAAAACCGCTCTGACTGAAAGTCCCGCCCTGCTCTGCTCTGATTGGATAAAACGGCTCTGGACTTCGTCTGATTTGTTGAAGGCAGTATCCGTTTAATCCTTATATCAGGGTTCCCGCTGTCCTTAGAGGCTTTGTGAGCACCTAACTTTGTGATCCAGTCACACCAGTGCAGCTGGATTTTTTTTTATTTTATTTATTTTTTAAGAAATCTGGTCACACTCTAGAGCCCTGCTAACTGTTGTTTAGACAGACAATCAGGTTCAATCTTAGGTACACAAGGGAGCTTTATGATGTCCCAACTGCTGCGCTTTTTCCTTTTTTGACCACGCACCGCTTACGTGCAACTCTGTCCATAAGAACTCAAATGAAGTTTTGAAGATATTTTGAATCCAAAACTAAATATTACATGAATGAAATGAACAAGTAGCTTTACTTCAATCGTAGTATCTAGTTTTTACGGAGACGGTGGTGGTTTGATTACCTGGTGTTTGGATCTTGAGGGGGCTGCTGTTTGCAGAGGCTGTGTACTTTTTGAACTACATAGTTCCTGAAATTCTGGAGCTGCGGCAAACAAACACTCTCATCTTTGAACCAAGAAAGAGGCAAACAATCTGCGATCTGTAGAGTAAGAAGTGCAACATTACGAGAAGAAACCGACAAGAATAAAGCTCATTACTGAGCTCTAACGATGTATAAATCCTACATTTACGAGGACTAACTGAAATACCTTTTTGCACGCAGAAGCAGCACTCGTGCTGGACAGGGTTTGGCTACACAGGGTGATCATCAGGTATCGATTCAGCAGCTTGTCCAACATTAACTCTTTCAAAACAGAGTCAGGGAGCAGCAGATCCCATTTTCCCATGTTTTCTAGCAGCTAACAGAAACACAACAAGACCTTAATTAAACACCACCACTTGTTTACAGCGATGACATGAACAAGTTTAAACTATTTTAAGTACTTTTACAGCCGTCCTGAACTGCTCATCTCTGAAGCGACGCTGAGGAGATGATCTGTCTTCTAAACACCTTGATAGACAAGGAAAATATATCAAAGTCAAACCATAAACCAATGACATCCACTTAGTGAAGAGACATGATTGTGCAAATCAAGTAGAGGAATCATTTTCATGGGTATGATTCTACAAAGATGAGAAATAAAAATAAATGCATTAACACAGAGAACCTCAAAAACATTTCATTTACATAAATATACAGACTTTTTAGGATACAGGGGGATGAAAACATCTTCATCCACACAGCTCCTCAGTCTGCAGACCACAGCCTCAAGTAAGCCCTGTATGACACAAACCCACACCGGAAATACAATTTATCTCAACTATCCTTTTATTTTATCATGTTTACACATAAATCAGTCATGTAGCTTAAAATTTAATCCATTGGAAGATGCAGTAGACAAATTATTTTAGCTTGTGTCACTGTTACCTTGACTGGTTTACTCTGCTCTCCCTCAAAGATGGAGTAATCCTCCCTCAGTCTGTGACAAACACCAGACAGGCAGGCTGACTGCTGGTGGGACACGGGGTCCCACACCTGCTCAACGAAGGCTGCACAAACACACAGTGACCCGTTTGTAGTTTAAAATAGCACTGGCAGAAGATGAGTTATCAACATGAATACAAAGTTTAAAGTACTGTCAAACTGCCATTTTAATCACTTATATTAAAATGTTTGTTAATCTTTATTTAACCAGACAAATCCCACTGAGATCACAGATCTCTTTTGCAAGAGGCCTGGGCCTGAAGGAAACCTGTTGTACATGTTCTTGTTCTGAGGGAGGGAACTGAAATACCCGGAGAAAACCCACACAAGCACGAGGAGAACATGCAAACTCCACCTTCCTGTGTTTCTGTATATCTGGGTAATTTACCAAGTGAACTCAACACTCAGGATAAGTACCTTTTGAAAATACTACTAATAGCAAGTAAGAAATCAATAACAAGAAAGTGGCTTAGTGGGAGCCCACTGACATTGAGGGACTGGTTAGCCATAGTAGAAGAAATATGTGAAATGGAAATGCAAACCTTTTTCCCTAAGACTCCAGGAAAACAAAATCAAAAAACACTTGTTGAAATGGTTTACATATAGGAACTCGATAGTAAGCTGAGTATTGTAAATCATTATTAAGAATGAAATCCGGGGTTAGGTGCAGAGCAGATTTGCATGACTTGGTAAATCTCCCACCTGTTTGACTTTTCATGAAACTTTACATCTACAGTAACCCGACTGTCAGAATTTGTCAGTTTCAGTTTTATCTTTTTGTGAAGTGTAGCTGTCTCCCTCCCTTGGTGACCTCACTGTTCTGAGTGCTGTTTAATGTCCTTGTTGTGACTATTTTTAATGTATTATTATTTTTATTATCTTTTTTATTTTTTTTACTCTTGTTAGTTTTATTTCTTTCTTCTTTCTCATTGCTGTTCTGTATAAAAAACATAACAAAAATAAAGTATAAAAAAAGTTAGTTGAGGAGGAGTGGAACTAATATTGAAACACGCAGTGAAAAATTTTTAAAAAGACAAACGGATTTTGAAGAAATTATTTTTTGTTGATGTATTTAATACAATCCAAGAATATTCTAATTTAATTACATTTAATTACAGATATGAAAACTGATCACAGCCCGGGAGTAATGCGTTTAGACCTATGTATAACTGCATAAGGATTTCATTAAATATTTTTAAATTATATAAAAATTGAATTCCATGCCATAAAAAAGATATATTTAGACTTATTGTTTTAAGCCTGAAATATGAGGAAAATCTAAAGCAGACAGACATCTTGGACGCCATCTTGAATTTTGCAAAAGCCCCAAGGACAGACTTTTAGCTAGAGACGTCGTTCCGACGCCCTCTTTGGTTTTGGGATGCCCACTTTTAATTATGTGACGCCCCATTTCCACGTGACGACGCCCTCAGTGCCGATCTTCAGGTTTGTCGAGATTTAACAGACAATTCTCTGGATGAGACGCAGCTTTCACACTCAAACACACAAAAGGCCCACTAGCCAATCACACTATATTGCCTTATATGAATTACCTTGGCGCTAGCGTGACAAACAAGCTAAACTGTTGTCCTCCATCCATATTTTCAGTTCCAGGCTGAGTCATTTCTACCTTCTCCTCTCTGTCAACGCTCTCTGGTTTCATTTAAAAGAGTCGATCATCAGATATTGTCCAAGATTAACCTTCAGGGTGGATATAGCTCGCTAGCAGCCTCACACCGAGGACCTATCCACATCATCATTTACCCAGAATGCTTTGCGTGTAAATAAAATGACCCCGTCCGTGTAATATATTTTTAAACTTTTAGTTTAAAAATTATAAAAATTAAACAGCCTACAGCATTTTTAGTCTTTATTTTACAGTTAAAATATATGTTTATTAAATAAAGTCTAATGTTACAACTAATCATGGATCCCTTTAAAGATCATCAGTTGATTGTTTCTGTCCTGTAAACCGGGGGTTCTCAAGCCATTTGGGTTTGGGGACCCCTTACAAGAGCGAAAAAAAATTCCAGGGACCTCATCATAAACCCCATGCTGTTTTAAAAGATAATTTATTGTCATTTCAACCCTTAAATGCCATAGGAACATATATTTTTATTAAGTTTACTATGTTTGTTTTATTAGTTCATTGTTCTCCATGCATTTTTAAAAATAAAAAACAAATTAACATTTTAGTAAAAATTTTTGAGGACCCCCAAGATACCTCTTGCGGACCCCAGTTTGAGAACCTCTGCTGTAAACGATAGCTTCAATCAGCTCCTGGTTTCCTTTCAATCCCTTGTCTGCTGTGTGTTGTAATTTAATTTGAGTGGCCAAGAACAGGTGAAAGTCACAGCATGTGTGGTAGAAAAGAGAGTGTGTGTTACCGGTTATTTTGGGGAGGAGGGATTTTTCGATGACATTAGAGAGCGTCTGCCTGTCGGTGTGCTCGAGCTCCTCGTGGTCGTGCCCGTGACAGAACGTCTCCACTGCCGTGAACCATGGGAGGTTTTCAAAGTCTCCACTGACATCCTGAGACACAAACATTTACATGACACGTTAAAATAAAATAAAAAAGTAAAAGCTTTGTGTGGAGTTCTGAGTGTTCACATTTAAACTTTTACTTTTAAAGGGTTCCACCCCAGCAGCTGGTGTCTAATGATGGGGTTCAGTAACTTGGGCAGACACAGAGAGATGTAGGCATTGTGGTAGGACTCGGAGTAGGATCGCCTCCATTCTTCAAAGCGAGACAGAATCTTTTTCACGTCGCAGAAGTCGTCTTGGACATCAGAAAACACCGCCTGGGCCTTCAGCTGGGTGTCAGCTGATGAGGGAGCAAAGGACTGAATGTCAGACAAGTCGGCAAGACCTCCCACAGTCCAGTTCATCAACTGATTGACTTTAATGCTCAAAGCCAAAAAATATTTAAAAAAATAACGCACAACTGGAATTAGAAAATACCTAGAGACATTTCATTTAAAATACATACGTAAATAAAAAAGTATCGAGTTTAAGGTTGTTGTTCTCAAACATTAAATAAATACAGTTTATATTTAAATTAAAGCTCAACATATGGCATTTTAACACACTTTATAATGTGATGAACCTTCAGTGATAAAATAAAACCTTCACTCTGAGGCTCAAGAACAAACAGATTTAATTCCATTTTACCGATTCTTTTCTGCATCTGCTCCTCTTCTGGAGAGAGTTCTGTGTCTTTATGTGACTCATCATCCTCCTCTGTACTAAGGTCAGTTTTGCTGCAAGTTATATTCACAAATTAAACATTTAAGCAGTCTGGAACCTCAAATCCACAATCCTCATCACAATGTTGAACAGCAGCAAGCTAATGAAAATAAAAATAAACAGGAAGCATTTTTATTTCACTCACTTCCATACATTTGTTTCCTTGACTGAGCTGCCGTTCTGCCCATCCGTGTTGTCTGCAAAGCAACATCCAGTTAATCTAAATGATCCATCCAGCAGCTGCTAACTGTTGTGTGTTTTTTTAATCCTCAGCAACACAAAGTCGCCACTCACAGCTGAGCTGCTGCAGGCTCTCTGCCTGCTCCTGAATCCGCTTTCTTCTCTGAGCCAACAGCGCCTCCGTCTGGTTGGACAGCAGCGTGTGCAACTCCAGCTCCAAAGAGTCGATTTCAACAATCTAAAAACACAAACATTTATCACCATTTCAAAACAAGCATGGATTCATTGTTGTTCAGAAGTCAAAAACAATAAATGGTCATATAGAGAAACATTTAAATATAAACAATAAAACTTGATATGCAATTTTAAAACAAATTAAAAGGCTAAAATATTTCTGTGGAGACTTATTACAAACATTCTGTCTTGTGTGCATTTAATTTGGACTGGTGCCATGCTTCTGTATCTTGAATAATTATTTCACTAGCTTGAAATAAACTGAATAAATTGGCTGGCTGATTTATCGGTGCACCCCTAATAAAAACTAATACAATATATCAATTTATTGTCACACATTATAGCTTTTTAGTTTTGACTCTGTGTTTTTGTCTGAACTGTAACCTGTCATCATCTCCAAAATACACTGTCAAAAAAATGACATTGGGCCTCATGTAAGAACATGTTCGTATTCTTATCCTAAATTTCTCTTACTTTTGTTCGTACAAAGGGTTCGTACGAACATGCCACGTC